TATATTGCAGGAGTTTTCTATTTTATTTATTTATGGTTTCATTGGAATGATAACATGTTGGTTTTTCATCATGTTGAAGATGATGAAAAAGCTGAGAAGATGGAATAAGATGAGGATGAAGTTCATGTAGAACTTGAGATAGGTCTTAACCAAGAGGACCTATCAACCCAAAAGCAGTCTCGAGTTGTTTGGACCGAAGAGCTACATCGGTGTTTTGTGGCCGTTGTTAATGACTTGGGTGTTGACAGTAAGTTATTCACTCTTTCTACAATGCAAAGTAGTTGTTATCTTAATTGTTATTAATTGCTACAATTGGTCAATCAATTGATGTTTCTGCTTTATTTTAGCAATACTTTTATTATATATTTGTGTAGAAATAGCAATCAAATCCTAATAATATTACAATGATTATTAGGATTTGATTAATAGATTGGAGACTCTTGCTGTGTATGTTTGTTATATATTTGTTATTAATTGATGAAGTATATGTTTGCTGTATTTTTCCAATTGCTGTATTTTTTTGGTCAACATTATTTTGAATGCTTTCTCAAATACTCTTCCTAATCTGTAGTGCACTGGAGTAGATGTCATGGCATTATTGTTAATGAAGTCTGACACATTTGTATGTTCTTTTGATTGCAGAGGCTGTGCCTAGAAAAATTCTTCAATTGATGAAGGCTGAGAAGCATCTTACTAGGGTGCATGTGGCCAGCCATCTGCAGGTATTTTTTTCTTTTCCTTTCTCCTTAAATTTCATAAAACCAAATCTTTTCATTCATAGAGCTTTATTTGTTTAACTTTATTTGTTTTTGCAATTGTTGCAGAAATATAGACTCCGTCTGAAAAGAATCAGCTCTAAGGCAACCCAGCAAGTTAATAATGTCAGTCCTTTTAGATCCTGTTCACCTGGTGGGATGATTAATAGATTGGACACTCTTGCTGCTCTGAATGTGCCAGAGTTGCCTTCTTCGGCAACTCTTCAATTGGGTCATGCACAGAACATAAACAACTCAACCAATGGTCAACTTCAATTCCAAGCAGCCATAGTTTATGGGGTTGGCCATTTCCAAGCAGCAAGGAGTTACAAATAGTCCTAGGCAAGCAGCAAGGATTATTTGTTGTGTATGTAGTTGTATTGTGTAGTTGTAAATGGGATTCAAATTCAATTCTGTTTGCCTGTATTTTACAGCACAATGATTAGTCTGATCAACATCAACACTTTTTGTGAATGATTGAACAAGGCTATTTGAAAAGAAGGATAAGTCTAATGTGGATGGAAAATTTAGCTTTCTAAAAATTTTGTGAATGATAACGAAGTGTCAATTACTAGCATAAATGTCCATAGATTATTCAAATGTTAATGTTTGTGAATACCTTTTTCTGAAGAAGTTAAAGAAAACTTGAGGGTAGAAACTGGAGGACCAAACAACAAAAAGAGGTCCATCCTAACACTGGGTATGAGAGTTTCATGTTGTTTACATGTTCTGATGATATTCACTCACATAAAGAAAGATAGAGATCAAGGCAAAGGGGAATAAGAACTCGTTATATAACACAAAAAGATAAACACAAACTGGCACCGAATGCAAAGAGAGCATAAGAAACTGTCATTATATAACGAGAATAATGCAACCCTCATTCTGTTTTTTTTATTTTTATTTTATTTTTTTTCATACATGACTTGTTGTTTAGTGTTATTATATTTTTATTGGTGATAGGATATGAAAAAGTGTAATTATTTTACCTAATTGGTAAAAATATATATGAAGTAAGAAGATGACAAAATATATGATAGGTGGACTTGTATAAAGATGACACTAGCCAACGATCATGTTCTGAAACAAATGTCTTAATATATATCTATTTGTGCTCGCTTATATATCTAGATTATTGAACAACTGTTGTCTCAAATCCATGGCCTATTTGATGAAAAGAGAGAAAATTTATTTATTTAATCATAAGCATTTCTTCAAAATTATAATGTTGTCTAGTAGTTTTTTTAGTCAATTTTTTTAAATTTTAAGGGAAAAATGTTTATTATTTTAAAGGACATAATTTTATATTATTTTAAATGAAATTATATCATTTTAATATATATTTAATGATTTTTAATATTTTCTTCCCTCCGTATAAATAGGAGCATAGAGACCTAAAATAAAAGTCATCTAATTTAAAATGACAATTAATTGTTTAAAAAAAATGACAATCAATTTTTCCAATTTTAAATGTGTAAATTTTTTTAAAAGGTATATTCTCAAAATCGTTAGCAATGATAAAAGTGTTTTCTAATCACAATTTATGGTTTTTACGGAGATACAAATGAAATCAAATCTAAAAATATTTTTAGGGAAATCAAAGTCTCCTGCTACATTAAAATCAATCTTTCTTATGCTCTCACCATAAAAAGCCGTGCATTCCTTTTCTAATTCTTTTTGTTTTAAAATTTAGGTGGGCTCCACCATTTTTTGTTTCAGCAAGAGAGAAATGGCATTTTTCTGCTGCAGGAGCGCCGTCAACCCCATATTTTTATTATAAAACATGATACACTAAATAACCTATTTTGTTCAAACTCACCATTTAGATATGGGAAAATTCTTGTACATACATTTTATTATAATTATGCACTAAATTAATCAAAATACATTATAATATTTTAAATTTTGAATCCTTTCTTTAGTAATGGTTAAACAAAGGAATACTAGCATTTTTTTTTTTTATTAACACATTATTGATATTGTCCTTGTAAAAATTGTGTTTTAACTTTGAGTAATTTATTGTCCTTTTTTTTTTGGATATATCGGCGAATTTTATTCAAAAAGGCCCTCCTATATATCCTCGAAATAGAAGACCTTGTTCCCAATTTTGTTGCCTTAAAAGCGAGAATCGGTGTTTACAGAAATAAAACTGGTAAATTGATGCAATTCATTAGTTACGTTCGAAAAATCGTTACATTTTTCGTAACGAGGAAAACCTGACAACATTTTAATATTGATATCCAATTACAAAGTTTATTGGTAATGAATTAGCATATACGAGCCATTTTTTTATAACATGAAATTTTATAAGCATAAGCAAAAATTAAAGTTAAAAACAAACACTATTAATCCATAAAAGGATGAAATGTCTAATACAACAAAATAGAAATGAACACTACCATGCAAATAATAATCCAAGCTCAATGACCTTAACAAAAGCAATAAAAAAAGAAGAAGAAGAGACTTTACAAAGAACAAAATGCACTATTTCTAACAAACCCAAATTTAACATCATAAGAAGTACTTAAATTACATAGGAAGCAACACATGAAAAAACAAACTGAAGGAAGAGCATTTGAGACACCCCAATTGGCAAAACAGGATCATGGTGCCCAGAAGACTTTGCATGCTGAGAAATAGACTCATCTGGAACCATCACCCTCACAATCATCTTCTGTCCCTTGTCACAATGCCCTGATGCACCACTTATGAAGTAGAAAGTCCCTGAGTGTTCAAACCTGAACACAGTGTTTCCAATGTTGGAAAAGAAAGTTGGGTGAGTGGCATTGCAATCCTTGTAATCTTCCTCACCAACCTCCATCACAGAGTCCTTCTTGTACCAAAAATCTACACAAAAACAAAATCAAAAAACAAAAAATTAGTTGGTTACTAATATACCCTTTTGTTTCCTTATGAAGAAAAATGTGTTTTGTATATGTTATGTGCATGGGAAATAGAATACTATAGGAGAGTGATGAGTTGCATACGAATGGTGTCACCAACATGGAACCTGTTGTGTGAGGCCCAATCATTGTACATGTTTGTGTCATTGGCTGGTGGAACAACCCACCCTTTTATGTCTCCAACTTGGAACTCACTTGAAGCCACAGAGAAACATTGTGGAACAGAGAAAATGGCTAAGAGAAACACAAGTAGACTCATGGAGGAAGAAGAACAAGCCATTGCAAGTATGAGAGAAGGCAAGAGGAGAATGAGTGCAGAGAGTTTTTTTTTTTTGGTAAAAGATGCACACTATGGTGTTGTGGAAAGTGGAAACTCTATTGAAATTGACTAGTTTTAATACATAGAAGTTGCATAGAGAGAAAGTGGCGAAGTTGGGTATTCCTGAGTTGGATGAGAAATGGAGGTAGTGGGTGGTTACAGTTACATAAAAAGTCCTACCTTTGAGCTTTGGATTTGATAATTAATTTGACTTGGTCATTTGGGTTTATCATACAGAAAATTTGGTGGGAAAATATAGATATATTCAAGCAGAAAAATGAAGAAAAAAACTTCTATAATCACGGATTATGGGGCATAGTGGCTTTCTCATGACTGACTTTAAGGTACTTGGTTTTTTTTTTTCTCCTTGCTTTCATTGGGAATTTATAATTTACCAAAATAATGTTTTAAGGTGCTACTTTTATTGCATTTCAAAAGCATGCAAAGCACGTGGAGAATGTTCACTTCATGTATTGGTCAAAGGTGATAGATTATTCTTGTTAGTTTTGTTAAAAGACTCTTTGATCTCATGAGCAAAAAGGGAAAACGTACAATTTTATTATATCTATATAATATATGAATACTATTATTATATCTATATAACATTTTGTATTATATCTAACAACATACAGTTATTGGTATAGCACTAAACAAAAGCACACAAAGTGGAAATGGATTGAAGACTATACACGATATGACACATTGTTTTACAGGATAACATATATATATATATATATATATATATATATATATATATATATATATATATAACATGATATTCTTATGAAATTTCCAAATCTCTTGCATGTTCAGACTCTTGATCAGAATCGGCATTAGGTCTTGTGCCTTTGAAGGATTTCAAACTAATAATTCGAGGAAAAGCACTTTTTGATCTGATTATTTTTGAAGCTCCATGCTTGTCAGCAAGCTCATTAGACAATGTTTTTACAAGATAATCGAAGCGCCGCTTGTAGGTTGGGAACCTTGTGATAAATTTGGTGATCCCTTGGAGCCTGTTTAATAGATATAAAACTAAAATCAAAGTAGAATAAAATAAATAAATAATCATTTTCCATTAAATCCCGACTAGTAAGAATAGGGGTGAGGACAATCCTTATACACAAGTCTTATTAAAAGTAACTAACATGATTTGGTCTGATAGATATATACCTTCTAGCCAATGCATCAAGTTCAGCAAGTTTGATGTCAGATTCAGGTGTTGTGCCAATAAGTGAATTTTTTACCCTATTAGGATCACCACTCAAGAGAACCAATTTGCAAAGGTAGTCCTCTTCTGACACAGAAAGATTCACTGCTTTGATTTGTTCTTTCATAATCAAAAGGGGATTAAGGAACCATTCAAAAAATTTCTCCTTTGGTCTGTTTGTGGTAGTTAGTTTAATATCATCACCTATATTAAGGAAGCAAGCAAAATGATTTCATCAAGATGATTAAAAGCAAATAATCTTGAAAATCAGAAGCAAAAGGGGCAGCAAGTGTTCCACTTACTTATCAATATACCAGAGGAATTGGCTTTTGCAGAACGCAAGAGTGCTTGGAGAAGGCAATATGCTGGTAAACCAATAGTAATGACTCTACTCCCTTTACCAGATATAGCTTCTTGTATGTCTTCATGTGTAATTAATCCTACAGAAACTAGTGTTTCTCCCACCTTATGACATTCCTTGAACAAGCCATCCAATAGCTACACAAGTTATGAACAGTGTTTATTTAGTAAAGCCCCCAAAGCATGATGCAAAGCATGAACCAAAAAAGGGTAATATTTGAGTCATGTGTCATTGGAAACAAAATATTAAAAAAAATACCTCAAGTGGTTTCAACTCAGCAATGTTACTTTTTATTGAAATCGTTCGAGAAAGAGTTTTTTTTAAGGACCTGGTTCTTGAGAAGGAATTTGAATGGGAAGCTGTCACTGACATTTCAGCCTTTTTTCGATATTGAGGCCTTCCAAACACAAATCAAGAGCATTAATTACAGGTCACTCAACAACATGTTTCAGGAAGCAGTGCAGAATAAAACCTTGGGAAGCAGGATCCTTCTGGCATGTCAAGAATATCATTGCTGTATTCATCATAAAGGGACAAAGCTGCAACAATGTACCGAAGGCCCAACAAGAAAGAAGACTCCTGCATTTCACAGAACAAATAAACATATATCATGCCTAAGAGAAATCAATGCATCAATAGTTTCAATATACTTTCAAGGTGTTAGGGCATTATCATGCAAGCTATTATTTGAAAGGCATTCTTGAAGCATACTTTCAAGGTGTTTTAAAATTTGAAACTTCTCCTACACTCTCTAACTGTGCAGTTTTATGGCTTGACTCATTAAAGGTTCAGATTATGAGTGAGTTATTTATCAGAGTCATAGATAGCATATTTAAGCATTTGGACTTAGCAAACATTACAAGGCAGGCAGTTCAAGATCCATATTGGACTTGAGGGTCTAACTAAGGCAGTGACGGAGTAGGTGACCATGCCAGCAACAAAGACCCATCAATGCATACTCAAACTAACCAAGCAGTGATGGAACTAATATTCTTTATGATTTGGATTAAACTTTTGTTCAGCGTGGAACAATAGAGACAGTGAATCTTGAAAACTTATTTTTTATCCTAATCCCCAATTTTCCTACAATTCATCATCAGTCTGTCTTTGGAAAATTAATCAGTCTAGAAAAGCATAGGAACAGTCAAGTAAGCGACCCACCAAAATGCTACATATTTCACTCTGTTGAGATATATAAAATCATTAATGTAGCCACACCCAACAGCTTAAGCTTTTGGGTTGAATTGGTTCTTTACATGGTATCAGAGCCTCGTGTCCCGGGTTCAAACCTCGCCATCCCCCACTTTCTCTTGTGGAATTTTTTAGCACAGGTAGGCTGGGCTTGTTGCATCATCCACTTTTCAAGCCCAATGAGCTCTCGTGTGAGGGGGCGTGTTGAGATATATAGTCCTACATTGATTGTATGAGCAACTAATGTGGAGTTTATAAGGCCTTGGGCACTCCTACGAGCTAGCTTTTGAGCCCTTTCTTGGATGTTAACTTGTCCTTACCAAGAGTGAGATCATGAACAAAACAGGTACAACCAAAGACATGTGGGGGGATAGAGGATAGAGAAGAACATCTGGAAGCAATAAGTTATAAGGAATGTCATTATTAAGCACAGATGAAGGAATACGGTTGATGAGAAAACAAGAGGCAAGGACTGCATCGGCCCAGAAGTGAAGAGGAACATGCATGTGAATAAGAAGAGTCTGTGCAGTCTCAATGAGATGTCTATTCTTACGTTCAGCTACTCCATTTTGTTGTGGAGTGTGAGGACGAGTAGTTTGGTGTAAAGTACCCTGTGTGGCTAAGAAATTAGAAAAGTCAACAGAAACATATTCCTTAGCATTATCACTACATAAAATACGAATAGAAGCACCAAATTGAGTATGAATTTCAGCAGAGAATTTTTGATAAATAGAAAATAACTCAGAACGGTTTTTCATTAAATAAATCCAAGTACAACGGAAAAATCATCAATAAAGGTAACAAAATACTGAAAACCTAAAACAAACACACTACGACTAGGACCCCAAATATCTGAATGAATAATTGAAAAAGGAGCATCAGCTCGTTTATTGACACGATTAGCAAAGGAAGAGCGTATGTGCTTTCCTTGCTGACATGACTGGCAATCTAAAGTCTGAAGACCGGATAAAAGAGGAACCATCTTCTGTAATTTTGAAAGAATAGGATGCCCGAGGCGACTGTGGATGAGTTGTGGAGATTCTGTGAGAGAACAAGCAACTGAAGGACTCGGCACAACCAGGTACAACAGACCCTGTGACTCACGGCCCACTCCAATCGTCTTCCCCGTACTCGGGTCCTGCACAGAAACAGAATGGTTTGAGAAGGTGACAATACAGTTAAGAGAGTTGATCAATTTACCAAGAGATATTAAATTACAAAGAGATGTTAGGAATGTAATAGACAGATGTCAAGGTCAATGAGGAGGTTGGACAGATTTGTCCAATCCTATGAACAGGGGCCCTAGTGCCATCAGCAAGAGTAAAAGAGGGTAAATTATCAGAATATGTAAGGGATGAAAAGAGTTCCTTATTATCACAGAGGTGATCAGTAGCACCTGAGTCAAATATCCAAGGACCAAGTGATGCAGAATGAGAAACACAAGCAACGGGATTACCAGTTTCTGAAGCAGAGGTCTGAGACTGAGGAGAGGCCTTCTTGAGAAGGGTCTGGAGTGCTGCATAGTCTTCAGAGGAGAGAGAGACTGTACCATTTGAAGCAGTTTCCAATTGAGCTATATTAGCAGCATGAGAAGGTCACAGGTGAGGATACTTTGTGTAGCAACGTTGCTCATAATGACCAAGTTGCTGACAATAATGACAATGAGGTCGCTGACCACGTCCTCCTGGGCCACGTCCTCCCTTGCCTCTACCACGACCATGTCCACCTCCAATGTTCCCACGAAAGTCAGTACGAGAAACTAGAGCAGTGGAATCAACAGCAGCAGACGATGCATGAGCAGATTTCTTATTAAGATTCAGAAGACGCTGATACATCATTGATAGATCAGGATCCCCACTAGTCAAGATAGTATCCCGGACATTATCATATTCTTCGGGGAGACCAGACAATGTGGCAACCATAAAGAGACGTTCCACCTGTTTCCGATATGCAGAAGCATCAATAGGGTAAGGCAAGATATCCAAAATTGCCTACATCAAAGATCGACTTTTGCCAACGTATGTCTCCATCTGAATGTCAGATGATTTGCTCAGTTCCATAAACTGAGAAATGATGAAATAATGCTGCTGAACATCATTAGTGTAGAGGTTTTTTGCTTCCTCCCACACTTCAGTGCAAGTTTGAAAAGAATAGAAGATGTCCAAGATGACTGGATCAATAGATTGCCAAAGGATACTCAGAAGCTGGTTGTCAATCTTTTCCTAATCAGATTTTTCCTCCTTAGGAACATCAATAGACTTAGTCGTGAGATGATTCCCATGTCCCTGTCCAAAGAACCAAACTCGAACAGAGGTGGCTCAGTTCTTGTAATTAACAGAACCCTTCAACTTTGAAAAGGTAATGGGCCCAACATTGGTGGAGATGATATTGGGAGAAGTTGCTGCCATTATATTAAATCACAAAGATATAAATCGAGTAAATAGGAACGAACCTGATCACCGATCAAGAAGAGGTGCGCACAAAAAGTCAGACCCACAGAGAACCAACCACAGATCTGGAAAGAGGAGAAGAAGGCGAGCTTCTCTGTCCAAGACCGACCGGAAAAAGCTGCCGGAACAGTGCACACGCGCCGGCAAAAGGTGGCGCGTGAGGCCCACGCGCAAAGGAGTTGGACGGCGCGTGACGGTTGCGATGGTGGCCGGACTTCCATAGACTTGGTCGCCGGGAGGCGACGGTCCTGATCGCGTATGGTCTGGGTTGAAAATTCGCCGGAAAACTTCTCCGGCGGCCTGAACAGTGACGGACGGTTGTTCCGGTGGCTGTCGGAGGTGCTGACGCGTTCGGGAATTACTCAGAAGGGGTTTACAGCCCTTGATGGCTTGCCGGAAGGACGCACGGCAAAGAAAAGAGGACTCCTAAGCAGTGGGCTTAGGTTTTAAAGCGAAAACAAGGTTTTAAGCGGAAGCGAGGGTCCCTAGAACAAAAAAGCTCTAGTACCAACTTGAATATAACCCAAACATAGCATAATAGGCTATAGTAACAATAGTATTAATATGAAATGAAAACTTATGTGAGGATTTACCTGATAAGAAACAAGACCTGCATAGGCACCAAGAAAGATACTAGCTGCCACAGATGCCAGAACTGCCCCAATAACTGCCAGTGGCCACAAAAGGATAACAAGGCCTGCAAAAGGCACACATATTGTCTCCAAGAAAGGGCCTTCACGACCTATGAGATCATGAAACAAACGATTCCACCCTTTAAAAAGCATGTAAGGGCCTTTGCATATGGCAACAAATGATACAATTGGCATATCAACTATGATTCCAAGAACTACAGCTACAACAGCACCGGGGAGACAAAGCAGCCTGCACCAAAACAGAGAAAAGAAACATCATTAAATTTTCACAGCAAACCATGATACATCATAACTCCTTTGTATCAGAAAGCATCATATGAAATATGGAATATCATGAGTCATGTGTATCTGGAAGACACTTTTGAAGCTAAAAATTTGTTTTGCTTTGAAGTTTTCAAAATCTACCAATACTGCTTACTTATTTGACACTCCAAGAGACATAGTTGATAATCTTTTGTTAAATATAGCATAGACCACAGATACAACTAAAACAAAAAATGCACAAGAAAGAACAAAATAAAAACAATTTAGTTTCACCTGCTTAGCCAAATTGGTAACGAAGCAAATTTAGGCAGCAACAATTTTCATGCTGATCATAATAGTTTCCATACATCAAATTTTACTTGTTAATTGGAACTTCATATCCGATGAAAAGAGTTGTCATTCTCAAAGATGATACCTAATAATAATGCCTTCTGTCAATATTTTCTATGACTTGCAATTATGTTTGGCATGCAAATGATGCATGATTAAAATCACTAGACCAACATAATAAAATTAAATATGAAATATAAAAGAGAAGTACCGTCTATGATTTCAAAGACTAGATGGTTCAGAAAATAGCTATATGCTGAAACAGAAACTTATTCAAGCCCAATTCTTCTATGTTCATCCCTATTTCGCCTAACAACACCTTAGGGCTTGTTGGGGAGTCACTATTAAAAGGGAAAGGGAAGGAAGGGGAAGGTTTTACTCATGTCTTCCCCTTGTTTGTGAGTTTTTAAAAATGGGGAAAGAGAATTTAAGATTTTTGTAAATCCCTCCAAAACCCTTCTCACCTTTAAAATCAAAGTTCTCCCAATTTGGGGGGTTTGAGGGGGAAATATCCTTCATTTTTAACTCCAAAACATAGGGAAGAGAATACCTTTCCTTTTCTTTCCCTTCTCCTCCAAACTCCCAAACAAAGTCTTACTGGGATTTTAATAATAGTGTGTACAACAAAGTCCAAGGTGTGCTTTCATTAGAGATATAATAACATAACAACAAACAAACTTAGTGAGAAATATAATGACATAAAACCTGATCTCATAATATTTCCCATTTGGAGGCCCCTCTTCTCGCAGGTCATCCATAACCGAGAAATAAGTATGGAAGCATGCATTTCTTACATCCTTGACAATATCAAAGGTCTTTAAAATAGTGCTCCATGTTCCATCCTGTGGATGCAATATGAAAATTTTATAAGAGAGCATAAATAACAAGCATTTTAATAACTTCAAAAATAAAAGACATACAGTAAAACAATGGAAAACTTTGTTCTCTTTTCCTCCCTCTACAGCTTCAAAAGTAGCAAATATTGATGAAAGAAATCCATAGGCTGCTCCACCTACAATACTTCCGAAAATTCCAACCACTGGCCACAAAATCAACAGCACTGGTAGTACACATGTGCACATAACAACCTTCAGTAAAGGCCCTAATTGTTTGGATCTGTAAGTTAGGGAAATCAATACGAGGAAACAATTAAAAATTCATATCAATGAGCAAAAACTTGAGACTTGAAGTCAAGGAAAGCACCTCACAACACAGTAATATGTCCAAATACTGTGCATGGCCCAAAGACCAAGTATGATAGCTGAGTTCCCAATTGTCATTATTAAGCATATCAATGGACAGAAAATGAGACCTGAAGTAATGGTGCAGTTTGAGTGTGAGTAAGTTTGACAGTCAGTCACTCTCCTCATGCAGAAACATTCACTTTAGTCTTTTCTAGTATGGTAAGCACAACAAATAGAGCAGCTATTACATATTCTGTAGTGGAAAAGTAAACAAGCATTTTAATATGTCAAAGTTGGCTCTAAACTACTATATACTTGTTTGTCGTTCATACAGTTTTTCTTTTTCTAAGTTTCAAAATCTTGCGTTTACATAAATCTTATATGTTGTGCTTAATGAACAAATATACGAGATTGATCACCAACAAAACATACGAAATTTAATTGTTTTCCCATATTAATAAAATCCAAATCATTGAACGCATATTAGATTGTCATTAATTAAAATGAGTAAATCTTGAACAAATATATTTCAAAATGGAACACATGTGAGGAACACCAATGTTCACTCCACCGTAATGTTAAAGAAAAAGAAAGCCTACTAAATTTCACAGAAAAATGAATGATTACATAAAATAACTTGTAATAAAGAAAAATAAGCATGCATAGATGTTCCATTACAGTATTGCATTTAGTAAAATAATCATCAAGAAATTCCTTCTCTTGTATTCAACTTGTATTTCCCAATCAAAACATAACAAAAAGAAGCTCAAATAACACACAAGAATGGAGCCATAGTCATTGAAATTCACCTTTGATGGTGCCTAGAAACCAAACGCCAATGAAAAAAGGCAGAAAGCAGACAAAGCTCCACAATGAAGCCCAAAATCCCTTGGGAGGTTCCATTGCTCACCAAACCCAGATCTATGGAAACCACCACTACAATCACTGTCCTCAAGTAGTAAAATTCCAAACTTTATCCCCCTTAACCTTCGTTGAGAAAAGATAAAGATTGAAAACTATATACCCAGAAGCCGAAAACCAGTTTTTCTGCAAGCATAACTAGTTAACTTAACACAAAAACTCAAATTGCTCTTCATTCAGCACCTAACAACAGGTGGGTCAATCTTACACCCTATTTTCTTCATCTCTTTTTTTTTTTTTTTTTTTTAAAAAGATTGAATTGGAGACTTAAAATAGTTGAAATTCTTGAAAAGCGTACTGTTGGATTGATCTTTTTTTCTCTTTAAAGAATGATGAAACAATGAAGCAAGAAACAATAGAGTGAGTTACATTATGAACTAAGAATGCATGAGCATCACATAATGCTAAGCCAAATACTCATATCATATCTCAAATCTCTCATTTCTTTTGAGAATCTGCAATTCTATTGTGCTCTCCTTTGGGTTAAAGCAAACAAAGTGTGCATTATGGTGACTTGTGAGGTGTTCTTTGTTTTGATTTGATAACAGGAAAAAAAGGAAGTGACCATTTTGAACGTTAACAAACAACACAGAAGCAACTTTAAGTTTATGTCACATTATAAATAGCAACATTTCTCGTTTTCTTTTACTCTTCCTATTCCATTTTTAAGGACTAATATATGACTTTCAAAAACTAATATCACTTACCCTATTGATATTTTTTCTTTTTTTCTTTTTTTGGAGTTACCCAACCCTAATTATCTCTTTGAGACGAGTTGGCTCCCTCCGGTATCCCTACGAGCTTCGACTCTTTGAGCCGGCTATGGGACTAATCCGGAGTGCGAGGGAACAGTGATGGCTAAAGGTTCAGCCCCCTCCCCAAGAATTATATGAGTATGAACATTAGATAAACATTAGATAAAGTTCGACGTCGTTTCGATGAACATCAGATAAAGTTATCTAAAATAACTTTAGAAAAAACAAACCCATAATTTATTTGCCTGCACGATCTTGGGGAATTCCTACAAATTGAAAAATGCTAAAAAATATTGTAAATAACAAAAATGTGATTATTTTTTTCCCGAAAGAATTCACACTGACCCTTAGAACTTAGAAGTTAGAACGATACAGCAGCATTGATTCGGTAAATAGTCCAATTCTTTAGTGTCAGGCAATTGAAATATTCTTTTAAATCTCTTAATCCTGAAGAAAATAAGCTTGCGTGCGTTTAACTCAATAAAGAAGTGAATTAGTGAAACTGATTTCAACATTATCTAAATAAATATTTTTTCCCTACAAATAATTAAATTATATAATTATATTATTATTAAAATATCCTTTCAGAATACAATATGTTTTTCAGTTTATAAAGAATGATATCATCATATAAAAATATTTAAAAATATATATATTGCCACCCGTTATTAAAAAATGTCACAATTAATATGAAATGTAAATAAACAAAAGAAAAATCAACTTTGAAACTACTTTGTTTACCAAAAAAAAATACAAAAAATAAAATAAAAATACATATAGAGGCCAGGGTGTACTGGACAAAAGAAAGTGTCAATGCTCCACCCATCTTCAATAACTAAATTAAGGTTTGAAAATTCCAGTTGCATTAAAAAAGAATGGTGATAAATTGAAAATGAAATAAATTAGTGTATTAATTATTATTTATGAGAATGTAACGCACAGCCATGGCATCATTAGAATACCCCATTACTTCCTCCAATTCGATCACAATCAATATATTGCTATTTTACTGGCCCTTCAAACTATCACAATTTTATTTTTAGAGACTCAAAATCGGGATTATTGGTTAAATAATTCCTTACCAGTTGATCTACATATTTGATAGTCGATGTCATCTCATTTTTCAAATACACAAACCAAGATTCTGTGCTATTTAGTAAATTTACTTCCATTTTCTTTTCCTTTTTTTGCTTTTGGGGTTTTTTGGTTTTCTCAATTGGAGTAAATAAATATATATTTAGTTATTATATTATTTTGCTTTAAATAAAAGGTATATAATAAAAAAAATTGAGGGATTTTGGCTAATCATACATACATGTTAAAAACATAAATGTAACTTTTTTTATCCAAATTATGCAAGTCTTGTAGTCACAAAACTCGAGCCACAGAGAGATATTTAAACAAAATATAATTCACTTTCTTGTCACTTATTGCAATTAAATTTTGGGAAAATTATACCACACAAGTAACTTACCCGAAATGTTGAGTTATTGAACTGAGACACATAAATAATTTTATTATCTTTTAATAAAATTTGACAGAAGTCCAACATGAATATATTGAACCAAATTATGCATGATGTTTATGTACGATACTACTAATTTGAAACATAGGACAAAAATGGTTGACGTCCTTGGAGTACGAAATAATCTTGTAAAAAGATTCAAGTTTTATTAATTTATTTATTATATTGGAGAGCAATAAGAATGTGGTATAGTATATATTATCCAAATTTGTGGTAGCGCCTCACTAATCCTATAAGATAAATAAAGGGTCACCTTTTTAGCTAAAAAAGAAGAAGATATTGTTATCAAAAAAAAAAAAAAAAAAAGAAGATAAAAAAGCAAGGAATCATGAACTTAATTTTTGCTAAAGAATTAATTATTGGGTCACCTGTAAAGTTTTGTGTTTCTTTTTATATATTGCCTTTCACTTGGCCTACACTTTTAAAGTAATTTGAGTTACTCTGCACCAAACAAATGTGATCAAGACATTTTGTGTACCTTTTCAATTGTTTAGAAGTTGAGGCTGACATGGAAGCTATCAGAAGGGGTGTTCAAAATGTCCAAAAAAAACCAAACCAATTCATAACTAAATCGTTTAAAATTAGTTCGATTCGATTTTTGTCAAAACCAATTATAAACCACCCCATACACACCCCTAGCTACGAGCACGAAGCGTGAATTGTTGGCCAAATAAAAGAGAGATGAAATTATTGTTATTATTATTTGTTTCCTCATCTTTAACAAGAGGTTTTTCTTATAAAATGAAGTAAGAAAAAAAGGTTTGCTTTTTCTGCAGTTATTGTAAATAATTTATCTGCAGTTATTGTAAATAACTTATCTGCAGTAAGCCTAATACAACGTTGTTTTGAGGCGAAAATCATGTTTTTTTTGTAATCTTAATTTATTTCAGGTTATAATAGTCTTTATATTTATAATTTTTTAATATTTCAATACCAAAACAACGTTGTTTTGAGAATAAATACAGATAACTTATCTGTATTAACTGCAAAAATATTTTTAAAAAAGAGAGAAGATAAACAATGATTGTTAGCCGCGTATCTAAATCTAATATGATTGCTAAAATATCATCTTGCTGGGTTGCAAGATTAATGAATCAGCCTCCGTTTGCTTGTTGATGAGAAAAGGAGCATCAATAGTCAAGTTATTAAATAAGTAACACCCATGTCTCTTGTTCATGCGAACAATACAAGCACCAGACCCAATTTTATTTTTTTTTAATTTTGAAAATAAAAAACTCAAATATTTTTTATGTTATCTAAAATGTTGTGGAGAACTGTGCTTCTTGTATAATGAAAAATATTTTAAGTGCTCCTGCATCCATTGCTCGATATATTCATCCAATAAAAATAAGATTTCAGCATTAATATGTTGTCAGGTTAGTGATAAGAAGGGAGAAAAAAAATTAACCATCATCAGAAATTTATTTATAATACAGGTGTTTATCTTGAATGACAATAATACCTATTACTGGATGCAAGAAGAGTGGGAAAAAAATATATTAAAATATTGTTATTTTAATAAATAATTACTAATATATAGTTGTTTTGAAATTATTTATCAATTTATTGCACTTATTCACGTCCAAATTGGTCGTGAACATTCACGCCTAAGTTAGGCGTGACTCAGTAGGAATTCACGCTTAATTTAGACGTGACTCGTCTAGCGTTGACATGTGGAATAAAAAGTGAACATCTTAATCGTAAAATTTTGGAAGGCCATAACTTTTAACTGGGTATTCAAATCAGGTAATTTTTTTATTACCCATAACTTTTCGAGATCTACGCAATGACATGTTATTTGATATATTTTATCTCTCACAAACACGATTCGAATTTGCAACAATAATACTATATGAACGTTTAAATCCAGAAGCCTCTGAGTTCTTTCCAAATCAACACAAAACACAGTCTTCTACCTACTAGAATCTCCATATCTTGATCCTATGGCTGTATTCTTATAACTGTAAATTGAGACTTTATCTTTTAAGTCGTGGTCTGAAATTGAAGATGGCACCAAAGTGGATTAGTCATTCTATAAATTATGATACTTAATATCATATTAAAAATATATTTTCTATCAAGTGTTTGAAAAAAAAAATAGTGTACAAGGTTATTGAATCGCAATACGTATTATGTATCGTTTGATCAATTTTTCGTATCGTTAGTAGTAATGAATTGTAAAATATAAAAATATAATAAAAAATATTTAAAAATATATAACTTTTTTATGACTTTTATCGAATTGTATCGTTAGTTACATCCTTCTGAAGTTTGGAAACGTCGTCTCTGATACGAAACAATGGCTGGATTCGTTGGAAGTTTATAGTCTTGAATGGTTTTCAAAAATAAAATATTTCTTCCTTAGAGATTTATAATATTTATTTAATTATTTCCTTTATTAATACAGATTTTTTAAATTGATTTTTGAGTTTAAATCACAAATCAAATCTTTATTTTCTTTTCCTTATTAATAATATTTTTTTATTTTTTTTAATTTAAATCACAAACAAAGTTATTATCTTTGTGAATGAAGTTATTTGATTTTTTACTTCCCAACATTAACAAAGTTAGATGTTTGTTTTTTGTAATATTTTTTTACAATTTCATGATTTTCAAAAAGAAGACTGTGTTTGTTGTTGGTTCGAAAAGAACTCGAAGACTTTTGTGTTTAAACGCTCTTATAATATCATTGTTGTGAATTCAAATCTT